TCTTCAGAATTTTCTTTTGTTACCTGCCATTTCTCCTTTTGAAACTATTTGATGCATTACTGTCATTTAATGGCTTTAATACTTTTGGGATCACAGATCTAGAATTAGCATGCATATCAGGAGTTGTGGCAGGCAACTACTGTTCTCAAAAGGAGGTCAGTATTGGCAGCTTAGATATTCCTCTAATTACAAGTTTCCTTTTAAGTTATTTAAAATCAGGCTATAATTTGGTGATAATTCTAGGGCAGTGGTTCTCAACCTGTGGGTCGCGACCCCTTTGGGGGTCGAACATCCCTTTCACAGGGGTCGCCTAAGACCATCGGGAAACATGTATTTCCGATGTGTAAAGAGAAGTTACTGTGTAGAAAGCAGCAGTATTGGAGGTAAAACGACACTTCATGAATTATAATTACTGGGTAAATAATTTATGGTTGGGGGTCACCACAAACATGAGGAACTGTATTAAAGGGTTGCCGCATTAGGAAGGTTGAGAACCACTGTTCTAGGGAGATGTGTTTTACAGGAAAATACTTTTTGAGGAACACTACAGCCCTGGCCAAAAGTTTATTGAGAATGACACACCTCTTCAGGATTGACCACAAGTTCACAATGTTATTAAGATCTGGGAAGTTTCCTGGCAATGGGCCAAACTTTGATGTTTTGTTCCCCAAGCCACTTAGTTATCACCTTTGTCTTATGGCAAGGTGCTCCATCATGCTGGATGTTCTTGTGCCATTCTTTATTCACGGCTGTGTTCTTAGGCAAAAATGTGTGAGTGAGCCCACTCCCTTGGCTGAGAAGCAACCCCACACATGAATGGTCTCAGGATGCTTTACCGTTGGCATGACACAGGACTGATGGTAGCACTCGCCTTTTCTCCCTGGACAAGGTTTTTTTTTTTTCCGGATGCCCCAAACAATTAGGGGATTCATCAGAGAAAATGACTTTACCCCAGTCCTCAGCAGTCCAATCCCTGTACCATTTGCAGAATATCAGTGTCCCTGATGTTTTTGATCTGGAGAGAAGTGGCTTCTTTGCTGCCTTTCTTGACACCAGGCTCCAAAAGTCTGCAGATGCACTCACACCTGCCTGCTGCCATTCCTGAGCAAGCTCTGGTGGTGCCCCAATCCCACACCTGAATTAACTTTAGGAGATGATCCTGGTACTTGCTGGGATTTATTAGGTGCCCTGAAGCCTTCTTCACAACAATTGAACCTCTCTCCTTGAAGTTCTGGATGATCCAATAAATGGTTGATTTAGGTGCAATCTTAGTAGCAGCAATATCCTTGCCTGCGAAACACTTTTTGTGTAAAGAAATGACGTTTGCACGTGTTGCCCTGCAGGTAAATTAATATTTGTGTCATTCTCAAAACTTTTGGCCAGGGCTGTATACTCTTCTGCCTCTTCCAAAGCTAGAATGTATGACACCATAAAAAATTAGCCTGTGCACAGCTACACATCACTCATTTAAGGGCTTTGTGCCCATGGGCCCCAAAAGACTTTTTGAGGAACACTACACTCTTCTACTTCTTTCAAAGCTAGAATGTCAGACACCATAAAATATTACGCTGTGCACAGCTACACATCACTCATTGAAAGACTTTGCACCCATGGGCTTCAGCTTGTATAACAGCAGTCTGTACAGCAAGTTTTTACAAATGTATTAGCAAATCTTTCAGCAAGGTAATGTGTTTCTGCTGAGTGTTAATGTATAATTACCAATGGAAATGCGGCTTATTTTTGTACATATAATGTACTTTGTTACAGTTTGCTGCAAGACCAATAATAACCAATTTTTCTTTTTCTTTTTTTTTTTTTCAGGTTCGGTGCTGTTTCAGCGGGGACGCTCTGTGGCCTTGCCACTTTGTCGCAGCAGTTAGAAAATGAAAATGCAGTGGATGTTTACCAGGTGGCCAAAATGATTAATTTAATGAGACCCGGCGTATTCACAGACATTGTAAGTGACCTGGGAACATGATGCAGTTGGGAGAGAGTGCATGATGAGGACTTTTATAAATGGACCATCTACAGTATTATCATGTGCCCGTTTAACATTTTCAAGAGACTGTTGACAGGTTGGCAGATCAGACTTTGGCCGCTGTTAGCATGTTAATTCACCCTGAGACTCAGGTAGTAGAATACCAGCAATAAATAGAGTTTCAGAACTAAGAACTGGCTGGGAGGTCTCATTTTTTTTTTGTTTAATAGCATCATGCAGCATATTATATGAGTTTTTAGCTTGCAAAATTGCCCTTGTGCCAAAATTTTTATCACTAATATAGTTTTACATGTTTTATGCCTGAAAAATACTGAAAAAGATGCTTACTTACCTTTAACCATTTGCCGCCTGGCCGTTTGGCGGCCGCAAAAATGCACTAGATTTCCGGGGTAGACGCCATTTGGCATCCTCCTGCACATGCGCAGTTTTCGCGTTTGCAGAGCCGCGCAGCGGCACGATCTGTCACCGGTCGTGTACCTCGGACACAGCCGATGACAGATCTGAGTACCGACCCCCGTTGCCGGTACCATGTGACCTGCTGTGACCAATCACAGCAGGTCACATGACAGTTGTATACAGTGGATGGCTTCATTCATGCCATCCATTGTATACTAGTGTCTAGCTGTGCATGGTCACAGCGATCACATGCACATGTCATGTGATTAGCTGTGGCCAAATCACAGCTAAGCACAAAAAAAAAACAAAAAACAAAACCCTGAATGAATCGATGTCATTCAGGTAAATGCTTGCTTATAGCAAAGTAATTCTTTGCTATAAGCAAACTGTGTAAAAAAAAAAAAAAATACTGATCACTTCCCCAAAGTAGTACAATGTTACTGTGGTAACATTGTACTACTTTGGTCATAGTGAAATATGAAAAATAAATCTTAAAAAATGTTTTAAAAAAATGTAATAAAAAATTTAAAATTATAAAAAAATAAATATTTTTTTTTTTTTCATACTGTCACCAGTCAGTGTCCCTGATCACCACCATGCCACTTATATGAAGACGCTGTACTGCACTGGTGACAGTATGTAAAAAAAAACAAATAGTGAAAATAATTTTTTTCATTTTCCGAAAAATTATGACAAAAAAAATACAACTTCAAAAAACTCGCCATGCCTCTTGTGAAGTAAGTCGGACTGCCTACTTTGCAAAAAGGGGTCATTTGGGGGATATCTGTACTATTCTGACATTTGGGGGATATCTGTACTGTTCTGACATTTTTGGACCTCAAGAAATTAGATTGACTGTCAGTACTTCAGGTTTGATCAATATTCAGATCTATACCATAGTTTGTGAACTCTATAACTTTCCGAAAAACTAAAAAATACATCCTAATTTGGGTTATTTTCACCAAAGACATGTAGCAGAATACATCTCGGCCTAAATTTATGAAGAACAATTATTTATTTGTAAACTTTTATAACAGAAACAAAGAAAAATGTGTTTTTTCTTCAAAATTTTTGGTCTTTTTTTGTTAATTTAGCAAAAAATAAAAACCCCAGTGGTGATTAAATACCACCAAAAGAAAGCTCTAGTTGTGTGAAGAAAATGATAAAATTTTAGTTTGGGTACAGTGTTGTATGACCACACAATTGTCATTCAAAGTGTGAGAGCGCTGAAACGTGAAAAATGGCCTGGGCAGGAAGGTGTAAAATTGCCCGTTATTGAAATGGTTAAACCCTATGTACGTACAAAACCTTATTCCTAATCTTGACCCCCTACTGTTAACTCTGTACCGCTATATAAACCTATGTCCTAACACTAGCCCTAACCACATGACCTCCAGAAGATTTTATCCCCTTCATGACCAGGCCATTTTTTGTTATTCAGCACTGCATTACTTGAAGTGTACGCAAATGAAATGTATGATTTTTTTTCACACAAATAGAGCTTTCCTTTGGTGTTATTTGATCACCACTGAGTATTTTATTACATAAACAAGAATGACCAGACATTTTGAAAAAAAAAAAAAAAACCTATATTTTCTACTTTCTGTTATAAAGCATAACCAATAAAGTCAAATTTCATAAATTTAAGCCAAAATGTATTCTGACATGTCTTTGGTAGAGAAAAAAAAATCCCAATAAGTGAGTATTAACTGGTTTTTGTGAAACTTACAGCGTCTACAAACTATGGTATATATATTTATAAATTGATCAGTTCTGATGTACAGACGGGTGATCTCATTTTTTGAGGTGCTTAAAATGCCAGGACAGTATAAATACCCCTCCCTATTACAACCTTTTTGGAAAGTAGACAGGCCGAGGTATCACGGGTTACTATAGGAATTGCAGCTGTTATGAATGAATGAATTCATAACAGTTTTGTTGATATTGTAATCATTTGATCTCATCGGGATCACATGATCCTTTGGAGATCAAAGTGGCTGGGTACCGGAAACCACAATCCGCTCTGTTCTGTGGACACAGCGGTCACGGGAGCAGAACACAAGTGTGCATGTGCTGTGCAATGTATGGGTGCATCACTTAGCCTGTAGCTGCCGCCTGCCGGCAGTATATATATTACAGTCAGCCGGAAACTGGTTAAACTTTTTTTTTGTAAATAATTATGTTACCCATGGTTTAAAACAAAAAAATGTAGTTCTCGCAGCAATGCTTGCCTTATCTCCGGTTTCTGCTTACATTTTGCACTCATTGGGACCCCAGGGGCATCAAGGACCCATCCCCTGGGAGTGCATTTTTAAGAGGCCCTGACTTGCAGAAGAATATACTGCAGAAAGTGTTTCCACAATTTTACTTGGTACTGCTCTATAGCATTCAGGACCTGCATACTTCCAAAGGATAATGAAGAGGACCAGAGGAAAGGTATGTTTAGATAGAATTGGGCTGTCTGCTCCAAAACCATAATTAACCACTTCCCGTCTGGCCCATGTACATAAACGGCCTGACAGGAGCAGTGCAGGAGCGATTGGATGTTTATAAACGTCCTCCCTGCTTGTGCACGCTCCCTAGGCACAATGCACCGCGACACGATGCCCGCTGTGTCCTCCGGAAACCGATCGCTGTACAGGACCTCTGTATGAGGTCCCGATCATGTGATCACTGATTGGCCAGTCAGTGATCACTTGAATAATAGTAAGCAAGATGTCACTTCTGACATCATTGCTTACTACTAGTGAAAATCTGTGAATGATCACAGAGGTCACATGGTAAAAGGCAATTCACAACAGCCTTGTACCATGTGACAAGCTGTGACCAATCACAGCTCACACAGTATTTCTCAATGGCTGCAAGAATGCAGCCAGAGAGGAGGAGAAATGATTGCTTTTACAGCCTTTATGGGTGTAAAAGCAATCAGTGTGTAAAAAAAAAAATGCCATCACCCCCCACAAGTAGTAGAGTGTCACTACGGTGACACTGTACTGTTAGGGTGACAGTATGTTAAAAAAAAAAAAAAAAATTGAAAAAAATTAAATAAAAATGTAGAATTTTTTTTACATTTTTGGTTATAAACTAATTTGGGTAATTTTTCTTTTTACTAAAAAGATAACGGAATAAATTTTGGCCAAAATTTATGAAGAAAGATTATTTATTTGTAAAAGTTTAAACTTTTTTTCTAAATTTTTGGAATTTTTCATTTATATAGCAAAGAAAAATTTAAATCCCAGTGGTGAATAAATACCACCAAAATAAAGTTTTATCTGTCTCAAAAAAATGCTAAAAAATTCATATGGGTACAGTGTTGCATGATCGTGCAATTGTCATTCAAAGTGTGATAGTTCTGAAAGCTGAAAATTGGCCTGGACAGGAAGGGGGTAAAAGACTTGAAGTGGTTAAGAAATGAAGCAAGGATAAGGATGACAATCCTGGGGCTTGCAGCTTTACAATTCTGGTTGGCAACAGTGGCTCCCATATGCCTATTCTTTTAACTTGCCAGCTTCTGCCAACAAAGGAATGTTTCAGTTTTCTTGAAAAAAATATTTTAATTAGAACAAAACAGAGAGAAGTCTCCCCAAAACATGTAAATGCTCAGTTGGGCTATTGAAGCCCATGGAGGTGATTAATCACAAGCCGCATAAGCTAGCCAGCATATTTAATAAGGTGAAGAATAATGACGCTGTCAGAGCAGGCATGAGGGATAATGTCTCAAATGCAGCTGTATTTTGCCCAGTGTTCCTACAGATATACAGCTGTCTAGGGCTTGATAGGTATTCAGAGGAATGCAGCAGGAAACCAGATTAAAAGAAAGTCCAAAAAATGGAATGCCTATTTCCAAAAATGATTAACGTGGGTAAGGATGCTCAGAAGTGATCGTACATATCCTGATAATGAAACAGGAAATATCTATGCATATGGACAAAAACAGTTGGTGTGCTTACTCTCATGTATACTTTTCTTCATCTCTACATTTTAATGAGACTTTTTTTAAGTAAGACTTTGCAATGTATCCCATTACCATGTTCACTACAAGAGCAGTATCAGTTTCTTAATATATTGCCTCATTATTCTCTATACAGGAGCATGAACAGTTCCTGATTTAGTATTGTTTTCTATATAGTAGAGCAGTATCAGTTCCTCAATATGTTGCGTGAAAATAGTAAAACAGTTCCTATGTTTTCCTATACTGGAGTAGTACAAGTTCTTTTAATATATTGCATTAGTGTTTTCTGCACAGGAGCAGAACCAGATACTCATTGGAATGGATTTACTAAAGGCAAATCGACTGTGCACTTTGCATGTGCAGTTGCTCCAGAGCTTTGTAAATGAAATGAAGCTTCACTTTCCAAGTATACCAACTCACATGCATCACAAAAAACAAACAGCATGTTTGCTTGCACACAATTGGATGATGGAAGTCAGCAGAGCTTCACCTCATTTACTAAGTTCTGGAGCAACTGCACTTGCAAAGTACACAGTCTATTTGTCTTTAGTAAATCCACCCAGTCTATTGATTTTCCTTATACAGGAGCAGTACTAATTCCTTGGTATGTTTCTTTACTATTTTGTACACAGGAGTAGTACCAGTCTCTCAGTACCGTGCTTTGCTGTTGCCTACACAGAAGAGGCACCAATTGCTCAGTGTACTGCATATACAAAAGTAGTTCCAGTCGCTAATATTAATGCATTGCTTTACTGTTTTCTGCACTGTAGCATTACCATTTCCTGATGTTAATGTTTTGTTTTACTCCTTTCTACACAGGAGCAGTACTAATTCCTGATATTAATGTTTTGTTTTACTCCTTTCTGCACAGGAGCAGTACCAATTCCCGATATTAATGTTTTGTTTTACTCCTTTCTGCACTGTAGCATTACCATTTCCTGATATTAATGTTTTGTTTTACTCCTTTCTACACAGGAGCAGTACTAATTCCTGATATTAACTCCTTTCTGCACTGTAGCATTACCATTTTCTGATGTTGTTTTGTTTTACTCCTTTCTACACAGGAGCAGTACTAATTCCTGATATTAACTCCTTTCTGCACTGTAGCATTACCATTTCCTGATATTAATGTTTTGTTTTACTCCTTTCTACACAGGAGCAGTACTAATTCCTGATATTAACTCCTTTCTGCACTGTAGCATTACCATTTCCTGATGTTAATGTTTTGTTTTACTCTTTTCTACACAGGAGCAGTACCATTTCCTGATATTAATGTTTTGTTTTACTCCTTTCTGCACTGTAGCATTACCATTTCCTGATATTAATGTTTTGTTTTACTCCTTTCTACACAGGAGCAGTACCAATTCCTGTATAAAGCGATGCTAAGTTTGGTCAGTACAAAGGAGAATGGCAGTGGCCCCATGGCATTGGACAAAAATGGAGCCATTCTGGTCAGCGACGAATCGGACCCCTCACAGAGCATGGAGTCTCTCGTTTAGGGAGCAGCTCCCCAGAAAAAGGCACTACGTTTGTAAAAACTTCTGACCTTCTAGAGACAGAATGGACTTTTTTCGAGGCCTTTTATTTGCCAGACTATATAGGTTATACAATAACCCAATTACTTTTTTACACTGATAAAATTTTGATATTTATTTTTTGCCATTTTATGTCTTAATGGTATCCTACTGAGCATTTGCACCTCTGTTCATTTCACTTGGTGAAACGCAATTTTCTCTAGTTTTGCACTATATGATCAGTGTTACTGCCTATAACCGCTGTAGGAAACGGCAAAAGCCCAACAAGAACATTCCCTAGATCCAACTCATGCTCTTTTTAAACTCCAGGTTTTTTTTTTTTTACATTTTTTTAAGTTCTTCTTAAAACGCACCTGCCGGTCACACACAACGCAGGCGCCATTTTGTGTGCTGAAATCACATTCAGCGTAGCAGTTGACTAGGAACTTGTGACTTTTGCCTCTGCGGTTTCATGGGCAGGGCTCAACAAAACCAGGTGTCAGGCAAGTCAGGAAGATCTTGCTTTACTTCCTGACTGGCAAAGGTATTTTTTTTTCATTATGGGACCCGCACCAGGCACCCAAGTAAACTGCGCCATCAGTGCAATGCTGCATATACAAAAGTCAAGTGTAAGGAACAGATTAACCCACAAGTCCACCCCATGGGGATCATGAAAGCAAGCTTACTATTCTGTAACTGGGGTGACCACTTTCTTTGCCTATGTGTTTATTTAATCACAACACTAGCACATTATTAATATATGCTCTGCTCTGGGACACTTACTACAAGGCATTCCATTCACTCCTGAACACTATGTCACCTGATGTGATGTATAGTTTTTATTTGGTTCTGTTCACGCACCATCCTTTTGTTATAAACTGAAATTTGGGTATTATGTATTTTTTTTTTTTTATATATATTGTAATTTGTATTTTACTTCCTTCTGTGAACCCAAATGAGCACTAGCTTTGGTTTCTCATTTGCAGCAACAATTCTGTTTAATTCATTACGCAAAATGATAAACTTATTTTTTATCAAAATTCTGCTTCGGTTTTACTAAGTCTGAGTGTTTGCCGCGGCCTAAATAGATTGTTTAGTCAGCTTTCGCTTCTACAGCTATTTAAAATGCACACCAACTCATATGAGGCATGGTTTAGCCCTAAGGGTATGTACACAGATGGACAGCAAATGCAGTTAGTGTTTGTGACAGCTCCCGCACTGTGACCACATTTCTGTCATTTCCAAAGAGCATCTAATTAGGCTTATTGGGAAGCACTTGTTTAATACGCAGTCATGTGATCAAGTACATAGGCCTCACAGTGCCTGTTTTTGGTACTGTCTGTGTTCCCGGCTATCTGAATTCATACAGAGCATGTAGATTCCATTGAAACTAAGTGATGGAAGTAGTATTTAAGAGCCAGTAGTTCCATTCAGAACCTTGCAGATCATTCTAAGGAGCCATAGAGCATGTGTTTTTTTTAATTGACATCAACAGAAAATATTCAAAAAGGTTCAATTAGATCTGAACCCTATAGTTGGCCATAGATGGTTTGAATCTCGGCTGGTTCCTGCAGATTTGAACCATCTGCGGGCAGGCGGATTGTACCCAATTCGATTGTTGTATGACTTGGGTACAACCAGCCTGTTGAATTGCGGTGGTTGCAGGAAAGAAAATAGCATCGTCTATGGCCTGCATAACCTGCTGTTTTATTTTAAAAAATACTATTTTAACCTTTTTTCTCCTCGCCTTTTTTTTGGAATCTCAGCGCTGCTGACCTCCATTTTTTTTTCTGCCACATCCTCTCTACATGCACATCATTACCCTGGCCCAGCTTCTTGCTAGTGACAACAGCGGACCATGTTCTCACCGAGTGTGCTGGCACAACTGGACGTAGTCTCCAGCAGGGGCACATGTAATGTTCATAGCACCGACTTCCTGTTCTCATAGCCACCAATGTAGACATTAGTGATGAAATGGACAAGAAGGGGTTGATTTATTAAAACTAGAGCGTGCAGAATATGGTGTAGCTGCACATGATAGCCAGTCAGCTTCTAACTTCAGCTTGTTCAATTAAGCTTTGACAAAATAAATCAGGAACCTGATTGGTTTCTGCACCGGATTTTCCACTCTCCAGTTTTAGTAAATCAACCCCAAAGTGTTCACCTTAATTCTCTTGTTTCTTCCCGACAACTTCGGTTCTCAATACACTAGTATCAAATGTGGGGCTATCAGAGTGCATTCAAGGGGCAGTAAAATGTGTATGAAATAGTTGGCAGTATATATCAGCTCTCTTTGGACACATCCTCTGTGTGCTAAAATGAAAGGGATGCAATGTCTGTGGTGACTAATGTGACATTTTTGTAAAAAAAAAAAAAAAAAA